AATCTATTCTTAAAATTTTTAGCATCATTGAGATATATTTGATAATCACTATCTGATATAGTTTCTTGAGTTAATGCTGAATAAAATGAATCTTTCGTGAATGGTTCCACTTTATATAATTCTTCTTCGTAATTTTCCCATGTGATGAATTGATAAGGGAAAAAGGATTTAACACGTGATTTATTGTTTCCGAAATCTTGAGTGAATTGATCTAATGTCCCACCCGCTATATAATTTCTGATGTCAATAAATCTCAATTCATATGGAACGTTTGTTTTCTTTACAATGATTTGCTTAAATTGTGAAGATGAACCCAGCATTGATTTTATTTTCCATTTTGTAGTGTTTAAATCACGAAGAATTAAATTTAAATCAAACTTTCCCGAATTAAAACCTATGATATTCACTTTATTGAATTCCTCATCTAGAAGTTCTTTAAATGCTTCCTTCTGTTTTTCATTTAATGTATGAGACAAAGTCCCGCCGTTTGCGGCTTCAATAATTCTTCATATTGTTCAATATTTGATTTAGCAACTAATGAACAGGTTGAAAATAAAAACTCAATCCAATCAGAAATAAAAGAATCACTCGAAGTTAAGCAAAAATTCTTCGTATATGTTTTATCATTTAATTTAACCGTTGATGATACCATGAATGGTTTTAAGTAAGCGTTCAAAGTTGCACACTCAGAAAGTTGTAATTCTTCTTTAGTCTCTAATGTTTCAAAGTCAAAAGTAATATAATATCTTGTCGGTTGATAATATTCCTGCAAATTATGAGCTAATAACCACTGATATATCTTCTGTTTCGTAATATGTGGTGCATATGGTTGCTGTGTCTTTTGCAACTGAACGTCTTGAATTAATCTTCCATTATTTTCTTTACATTTCTCACAATGCTTTAAAAATCTTCTTTGGTTTTTCCTTTCTGGATCATCACGGATAGAATAAACTTCTTCTTTACAATATGGACAAACCTTATAGCCGGTGAGTGCTTCAACGTCTGTTATTCTGTCAGCGTGAAGTTTTCCACATGGACTCTGTGTTAATAAAATATTTACTGTTTCAAATTCTGGATCTATCATTATTGTTTCCACTAATGGAAAGTCTACCATATTTATGTCCACGTCTTCTGGTTGAAGATCACAATAATAGAAATCAATATTAACATTTAACATTCTCGCTAATCTCTCACTTTCTGATGAAATGTCAAACCCTTCATATGCATCTATTGCTTCATTTAAATAGCTTCTACGAGTTTTAGGATTAGCACCATCAGGAATGTTATAGAAGCGTTTAAATAACCTTCTACCTTCTGCTCTAATTTGATTATCATTCATTTTAGCTGTTCCGTTTTTGTTCATTTATGTAGAATAAAAAATTAAAAAATAAATAAAAATAAAGTTTATTCTTTAAAGCCCATAAAATGAATTAAGAACACATAAATTTTTATCATCTGCAACGTGACGAATACATTTTAATTTACTCAAGAATGCGTACCCTGATACATTAAATCTAATTCCTGTCTTATTTAATTTCACAACTTTGAAAAGGAATGTATGAATAGCTATAAAATGATGAGAAGATGTTTTATGGGTTGCTTCCATTTTTTCTGAAATAAATGAATAAATATAATGTTTATAAGTTTTCATATCTTTTATGTTCTTAATAACGAATGGTATAGACCTTTCCACTTCGTCTTCCTTCGGTGCTGTTCTTTCATATGAAACATTATTGGTATCTTCAATAATGAAACCACAATCACACAAAATTTTATAGGTTCCAATGGTTTCTTTTGATATTTTATCTAATAAATCAAAAACTTTATCAACACCCGTGCATTTATTTAAATAATAATTTGTGTAAATATCATGATCTTCTTTCTTAATCGTATTAGTTGCATATGTCACGTTTTTAAGAGCTTTTTTGAATTTTGCGGCATCTAAAGGTGGTGAAAGTAGGATACAGGGGTATTCTTCATTATCAATAAATTGTAACTTATGTTTACGAATAAATTTAGTACCTTCTTCTGAAAGTGTTTCATCTATTTCACCATCTAATAAATTTTGTGTTGATTCTGAGACATAATTTTTATATCTTTCTTCATGAGATTTCTGAACTTCTGATTCTGAAGCTGGGATATTCATTAAACCCCCTACTTCATTTTCATTATATTTTTCATCTTCTCTTAATTCCTTAATTTTTTCATCTATTTCATCTCTTATTTTTTCCAGTCTTTCAATTTCATCATATTCATCATCTTTAATTCGTTCTTCATAATATTCAGGGAAAACATCAGGTTCTTTAGGTTTTTCTTCTTTAGATGCGGGATATAAGAAATTTATAACATCATCTTTATTCATTTTTCCATCATAATCAAACTCATTTAAAAACTCGGCAAATTTTTGACAATTTCTTAAATAATATTTATCAACCTCATAACCCGCCTCCTCTAATATATCCTTTATTTCCTCGTTTGTGAATCCCAATTTTTTAACGTTGTTAGTTGTGACACTCATTTCATACAAAATAAAAATAAAATGTTCAAAAATGTAAGACATTAATTCTTAAAGTTTATTTTTCATTCATGAAAATAATTGGGGTATTATTATTGTCGTCTGGCGGTTTTAGACGACAATACGAATTTTCAAATAATAGGATTTTTAGCCAGATAAAGAGCTACTCCATATATCATGCGTGTTTGCATACTATATACATAGATGGAATTGATGTTCTTCCTTTATTTAGGTACCGAAACATGCTTGAAAAATCTATTTTTTAGACGACAATGATAATTTTGTCACTTTTCCAGACGACAATAATACTTTGTCACCTTTTTAGACGACAATAATAATTTTGTCACTTTTTCCAGACGACAATAAAACATCCTCAAAATAATTATTTCTAATTTCTTTTACTCGTTTATGAGGTCTTTGATTATGACTCCATTGATTCCATTCAGGATTTAAACAATGTTTAATTAATCGCGGAATATCTGACATCATCTATATATATATAGCTTCTTTTATAAAAGATAAAAAATAAATTTTTTAATTAATGTTAATTTTTTTTAATGTGTTTATTACATTATGTATGGGCTGAGTGTAAATGTCTTACATTTTTGAATATTTTTAAATCTTGATTTATTCAAAAACGTAAGAATAAAAACCGTAAGAATCATACATTTTTTACTTCATATGTTAAAAAAATGATACAAAATCGTTCAATATTGTATGAATTCTTACGTTTACAAAAATAGTCACACAACCCTTCAACATATACTACTTTTTGAATTTTTAAGTTGTAAGAATAAAAATCTATTTAAAATTTGATAATTCTAATGTTTATGATGTATAAATTCTAAAAGAGAAAGTAAATTGAACGAAAAATGGGATGTTTGCTGTAATCTGATTTTTTGAAGTAATTTCGACATTGATTTAGGCAATTTTCTCTTTTATTAATATAAAGTAATGCTGATTTAGTTCTGAGCAACCTCGAAAACTGAAACGATGCCTGTAAGGCGGTTGTAGGCAGCAGCAAAGCCAGAAAGGCGCTCCTCAACACGAGTAGCATCGTGCTTGTCGAGGATAACTCTTGTAACTTGCTTGCCATTGACATCGTAATGGACACGCTTGCCAACGATAGCTGTTGGGAAGACAAGATCGTCAAGAATGGCATCGTTGACTGAACGGAGTGTACGGCCGTAGTTGCGGATGGCCTTGAAGCGGCGACCGTGTTCTGGTGTCTTGGGGAATGCACGGTGCTTGCCAATAATGCAGATTTGGGCATTAAGCTTCTTCTCGAGATCTGGAAGGAATGTGGCTTGGGCGGATTGGAAGGCCTTGATTTGTTTGTATGGAACTGTGATAACAAGAACTGTGGCGCCCTCTGATTTGACTTCCTTGACGGATTCGATCTTAAGATCCTTAAGCTCTGGCTTGCCAGCAGCAATTTCGTTGAAAGCAGCGGTGACAGTTTCAGACATAGACAAAAGGCAGACCATAACCGCTGATCTATCGTTCTAAGCTTGCTCTTTTTTCTTCGCTTTCTTTATTGCTATATTGATATATGGTTTCATGAGCATATTCTATCTGTAAATAAAAATTTGGATCTTGATATTGAGATCTAATTTCTTTCGATCAATGAGTCATCTTGAATGCATTCAAATTCCATACAGTTCAATTACAGACATCACAAATAACACACTGAGTGTATACGAATAAAATGGAGACGATTTTTAAGATTCGCGCTATTTGCTATTGAGTATCATATCTATTTCATTAGTAATATTTACTCTTACATTCATATACATTGGTATATTCCAATATATCCAGCTAATTTTGCTGTAGGATTTTGCATAAAAATTATGAATGATAAAAGCTAATATCAATCATACTATTTTACAAAGGATCCCCTAACACGGCATCCATTGTTTGATAACATACCACTTTAAATTCTATTCTCAATTTCGATTTTTGCACCAGGAATCAAATCGAACAATATATTGGATAGTGAAATATAGTACTTTAAAATATCCTGTTATAAGAGTTTTACTTTCAACTTCATCAGGAAATTCCGAAATAACGTACATGTAACGTTGCAATAAAAAGTAATTTAAAATTATGGTCTATTCACCCTAATCTTTGATATCGTATTCAACAAACTCGTTTACAATTGTGAATATAACCTGTAATTTATAAAATAACAACTTAGTGTAATAATTATGACACCCGTGATGGTAAAAAGGATTGATATATGCAAATTCTTTAATGCTAATGTATCTGACATTCAATTGCATTTTTTTTGAATCAGAAAAAATCGTACCATTCAATATTTTTATATTTTCTAAACTCGTAAAGTTATCAATATAAAATCTGCATTATTAAATTCAAATGAAAATCGGATCTCACATATATTTCATTTATTGTATATATGCAATCTTGATGTTTTAATTTATAATTTTATTACTAAAAGCCGTTGCTTTCAATTACAGTGATATTTATGCTGTCTTGCTTGACTTCCCTAGCCAATTGCTACTGCCCAAGTGGACACTATAATGTCATTGATAATATAACAGAACTAGAACCTGATCATTTTATAAATTGTCCTTATATTAAGAGCGTTTATATTCCACCAAATGTTTTACATATAGGAACATATGCTTTTTCAAATTGCGAACATCTTTCAAATGTAACATTATCATCAGGCCTTCGATCTCTTGGACAAGGTGCTTTTGAATATTGTATTAGTCTAAAATATATAACAATTCCAGACACACTTGGATCTATCGGTGTGTTGGCATTTCGTGGGTGTTCGGGATTAATAAATATATTCATACAATCGTATATTTCATCTATCTTCAGCAGTGCATTTGAAGGCTGCTCTAGCCTCAAGAGTTTAAACCATCCAATCAATATTTCCACAATTGGAAAAAACACATTTTCTGGATGCTCAAGTCTTGAAAGTTTAATTATTGAAGAGGGTACAATTCGAATTTATGAAAATGCTTTTAATTCTTGTTCTAGTCTTAAAAGCATATCTATTCCTTCAACAGTTAAACACATTAAAAACGGTGCATTTGGTGGGTGCACTAGTCTTCAAACTATAACACTTCCTGACGGTATTACAAATATTTATGAATATACTTTTTATGGCTGTACCAGTCTTGTGAGCATAAATATGCCTTTGAAGTCATTAAATATTTATAACAATGCGTTTGAAGGCTGTACTAGTCTCTCATGCTTGAGGATTCAAACAATAAAATCTCTAGATACTAATGCATTTTATGGCTGTAATATTAATGAATTGATTTTCGAAAGTCAAGAGTATACAATTTTGAAAGATGAGTATTATTATTCAAATATTACTAGGGTTGCTTTCAACTTTAGAAATCAAATATCAAATAAAAGAATTCGTGAAGATACAAAGTTGCCATCGTTGACTCATTTCACAAATTTGAAATATGTTAAAATAGAGAATATCAACGACTTGTCAATCCCAGAGTATTTCATCGGAAATAATGAAGTTGAAATATTCATCTCTAACAATGTGAGTTCTATCGATGAAAACGCATTCAAGAACTGCTCTATCAGCAAATTCACATATTATGGCACCGAAGAAATCAAAGGAGATTTCTTGAAGAATGCACGCTCATGCAAAGAAGTAATCACAACAGTTGATTACAAACAAGATCAACTTGGTGGTATCACAATCACACAAAAGATCAAACTTCCAGATCCAGAACAAGAAGACACGAAAACGAACAACACATCGAATGAAACTGACACTGGATTCAGAACAGACACACCATCAGGTATGAAAGAAGGCAAAGGTAAACTTGGTGGTGGTGCTATTGCCGGCATCGTTCTTGGTGTCATTCTTTTCATTACAATCATTGCCATTGTTCTTTTCTTCGTCTTCAAGAATAAATCCTCCAATCAAAACAACGAAACCAGTCAAAACTGCGATGAAGAAAATCCATAAATATCATTTAGATAACTTAATAACCGAATAATGAATAAAATACTTATTTTGACTTCAAATTTAATTTTATTTTGAATATAAAATTATCGTTTTTATATCTGTCACTTTTATTTAATTTTTTATAAAATGAAAAAAGCGAAGTCTAGCAATCTTATGGACATATGCAAAGATTATAATGATACTTTTACCTCATTGTATACACTTAAAGCATACAATCAAGCTGAAATTGACAAAATTTACAAAGATATCAAATTCAAATTTATTGAAACCAAGTTATTTTCACCATTTGAGATAATGACAATATTATCTAATGCTTTTATATATAACAATCGCGCTTTAAAGTCATATTGCGCATTATACAAACAAATTTTCGAAGAATACCAATCAAAAGAAATCAAAGTAGTGTCTAGAATTATGAACTACCTAATCTATAAAAACTTTGAGCTCAAATCCATTGATATTGACAAGGAATGTTTCGAAGAATATGAATTACATCATTATTCATTGGAAGTTCACGAGAAAAACACAATTTTCAAGGTAATTATGGATGATGACAAAGAATTGCTCAATAAATTCATAGAAAGTGAGATTTTTAATGTAAATCAGAGGCTACGTCACATATTATATCCATATACAGAGAATGGCCTTTCATTGATTGAGTTATGCTGTTATCATGGAGCAATTAATTGTTTTAACATTTTAAGAACAAAATTTGATTCTGAAATCACTCAGACATGTTTGGATTTATCATTTTTGGGTGGAAACCAAGAGATAATCAATCAATGCTTGAAATGTCAAGATCCAAATGAACAAACAATGAGATATGCAATAATATCGCATAATCTTTATTTTGTTACATTTTTGGAAAGCGAATACAATTTAAAGATTGATTTATATATATGCTATACTTATAACAATATAATGGCATTCTTGGTTTATTTAGAATTAACAAAAAAGATCGATATATGCTTCTTAAATTCCCCAATGTTTAAGATTCCTCATTTTACTGAATTTTTACTTTCTCATGGTGCAGATATTAAGGCAGTTGATGAAGAAGAAAACACTATTCTTCATAATGCAGCTAAATGCAGCAATATAGAAGTTGTAGAACTTATTATTTCGCATGGCTTTGATGTCAATGCATTGAATAACTCCATGAAAACACCTCTTGTATTTGCTATTGAAAATCAAAATATCGAAATTATAAAACTTCTGTTATCATACGGTGCAAATGTGAATATCAAGGACAAATTCGGAAGAACTGCTGTTTTATTCGCTATGCAAACTCAAAATGCAGAAATATTCTCTCTTATAAATTCTCATCAAGCAAAATAAATTTAAAATTCACCACATATAAATTTATTGATGATTAAACAATTTACTTTACACATGAAACATTAAATCATGAATACGCCATAAATCCCTTTTAAAGAAGATTTTCCAATTTGTGCTTTATTGTGTTGACCATTAATCAATCCTATTCGGATTTAATTCGAAACTTTCAGACTTCAAATCCAACATTCTATTGGGCTACTGTGATATTATGGAAATAATAATACGCATTATACCAGTTATATGATGTGTTTTCATTATTATCCAATAATTTATTATGATATTATAGTTGAAAATAGTAAACATTATAACTCGGTCTCAACTGGGGTAATTCATGGACTTCTACCTTGTGCTCCCCCTGGCCCTCCGCGAAATACACGGGCCCATTTAATTTTGAATTGAATTTTTTTTGTAAAATTTCTCAGACTTTTCAGAGAATTGAGCGTGAGCTCAATTCTCTGAAATAGTCTGTGAAAATTTGTTATCTCTGCATTATTTCAATATAAGCTCCATTTTTAAAGACATTTTAAAAATCGATCATTGAAAAATTATGCAAAGATTTGAATATTGAAATCATCTTTTATTATGAAAAAAGTAATCCTATAAGGAAATAAATATAAGCTTTGTTAGCAAAAAACAAACACTGGTTTTAAACCATTTTGTATCGGAAAGTAAAATTGAGAATATTAATTATATAATCTTAGTTTCTATCACGCAAATTCTATATTATATGGTTATATCGCTCAATACACCTGCATTTCTTAAAAGATGCCGACATATCAGCAAGAATATTAGAGAATCGTTATTGAATTTAAACATATCTATGCTTATTTCAGCTTGAACTCAAGACATCTACAATTTTATAAGCATAAAGAATGTTAATTACAATGCATTACTATCCAATATGTAAGATTTTATTTTTGGATATATGCAAAAAAAAATATTTTCTTATTAATTTGTAAAAATATTTGCTAAATGCAATTATTAGGTCTATAAGTTTTCTTTAACTCTTCGATTTCATTTTGAATGTCATCAAGTTTTGGAGTCGCGATTTTATCCCTATTTATGTGTACCAATAATTCTTCTTTAGTTTCATTCAGACTTGAAAGTTTTCTCTTGAGTTTGTTTACTTTATTAACTTCTTGTTCTTTTGATTGACTGTTTTGTTTGAGATTTGCAATAATTTTCCTTAATTTTTGTATTTGTTGATTTCGTTCATTATATTCGGCCTGTAAGTCGTCTCTTATTTGTTTATTTTCTCTTTCAAGGTGCTTAATGCTCTCCTTTTGCTGTTTAACCTCTTGTTGTTGTCTCCTAATTGAATCACAAAAGGAGTGGAACTCCTTTTTGACACTCAAAAAGTGCCCCAAGGAGTCAAAGTACCCACTTATCTGGATACCTATAAATGGCCTTTTATGATACATTTAAATTAATGATTTTTTTCTTTAAAAATCAAAAATCATGGAATTCTACTCCCCCTCCCCCATCAAAAAAATGAGTCAAGGAATTGTTCCAAACTTCGAATATATTGGTGCTCATATCAAAGATTATATTTATGATAATACTTTGTTTAATATATTCGAGACCGAAGACATCAAAACAATAATGAAATACTCTAAATTTAGTTGTGAAGATTTCAATACTCTTCTTAAGCAATCTCATTCACATGTTTCATCTAATAAATTGTACAGATGCGCTCGAAATACGAATATTTCAATCAATAACATACAAGAAGCCATTTCAACACTTAAATAAGTTCAAAAATACATGAAACTTGGAATATTAAGTGGTATTATTGGTGTTATTGATCAAATACAAGCAGATCAATCCGTATCAACAAATACAATTGAAAAACTCCAAACAGAGTCAAATCGAATTCAAAAGGAAAAAGAAAGTCTTGCTAAAGAAGTGCAATCTCTTAAATCTGAGATCAAAAGAAGAGAAGAAAACAATTTACCAATAGGATTCATATCCAAACTTTCAGAACTTAAAAATTCAAAAGATTTTGATGAAATCTACAACTTCTTTGTTGAAATTTCAGAAAAAGGAACTCAACAGATGATGTCCAAAGCATGCGAAGAAGGACTTTGGAAAAGATGTAAAAGTGTTTCTGAATTACCAAATGTTCTTCATGAGGCATCATTTACAGGAAACCTTAAACTTGTTAAATCTTTGATTGAAAGTGGTTGCGACAAACATGCAAAGTGTTTTTACGGATATACTCCACTCATCTGTGCATCAAGAAAAAACAATCTCGAAGTTGTTAAATATCTTATCTCAGCTGGAGCTAATAAAGATTTAAAGGATAACGATGGAAGAACTCCACTCATTCATGCATCATGGAATGGTCATCTTGAAGTTGTGAAATATCTGATCTCAGTTGGAGCTAATAAAGAAGTAATGGGTACATATAGTAGAGACACTGCATTCTTTTATGGAACATCTCATCTTGAAATAGTTAAATATTTTATCTCAATTGGAGAAGATAAAGAAGCAAGGAATGGTTTTGGAGGAACTCCACTCATTTGGGCAACAATTTCGGGTCGGCTTGAAGTCGTTAAATATCTTATCTCAATTGGAGCTAATAAGGATGCAAAGGATAATGAAGGAAATACTCCACTCATTAATGCATCACTATATGGCCATCTTGAAGTTGTTAAATATCTTATTTCAGCTGGAGCTAATAAAGAGGCAAAGCGTAGTGATGGAAAAACAGCACTATCAGTAGCAAGTGGTAAAGTTAGAGAATATTTATTATCTGTTGCATAAAAATTCATCTCATCTCACATTTGAAAAGTTATTCAATGAGATTTCTGTTGGAACTTTTATATATTATTGTCAACACCATAGTAGTTTCATTTTTTGTGTAGATACTCTATATTGATTCTGGTTCTAAACTAGAGAAATAAATTTTTTCATTCCATGGCAAAAATTTCTTGTTGTGTTTGTGTGTGTATGTGTTTGTGTTAGAAAGTTTTCTAAATATATCATCTGACAGACAAACTCTCAGAAAATATTGTTGTTATTTGTTGCAGCATAATAAAGTGCAGAAATTCCAAATTGAGCTTTCGCATTGACATCTATATGCTTCGAAAGAAGGATTTCATATATCCCTATATTATTAGCAACACTGCATAATGAAGTACAGTGACAGAAATTAAATATCAAATTGGATAAATCGAGTTTAAAATGAAGATGGATGAGAATGCATTCAACAACAATATGAACGAAAAGGATGCATGAAATAAATAAAATTTTTTTTAAAGTTAATTTTTTAAGTTTATTTTTTAAATTTTTTTTATTTTGTGTAAATGTCAAAAAGCTTATTTGTAAATTTAAGATAACGATTATTTTGTCAAACATATAATTCTGTTGGTCTGCGCGTAGTGCGGTGCTACAGAATTATATGATACTAACTACTTTATAACAAGCTCACAAAATCAACAAATCTTTGTTTTAGTAGTAAAAAATGATAATAGCCACAATCAGCTTTACATAATGGTCAATAATAACCGTCATAAAATATCACCCTTTCCGCGATCTAATGGGATGTAGATTGAGAGAATGCCAGAAATTGGAAAGTGAACTATAAAAAGAAACACATTTTCCTACGTAAAGTCTCCCTATCGTATTTCTGCCTCAATTTTGAATGAATCTCTATCAAAAATTTGAATAAGAGACTTTACGAAAGAAAAGAAGTTGAATTTTTATGTTAAATCACTTCTTAATTTAAAACTTATTAAAAAAAAAAGGTAGTGGGGCTTCCAGGCACTTCGTGCCTTCTAGCCCTGATGATGTTTAGTAATAAATGAAGTTTTTATTCGGAAAAATTGTTAGTCTTCTGGGTCGAAAACATTATATAATGTGTCGCTTTTCACAAATTATATATGTTTTCATGTTTTGTCAAGACTTCTTCGTAATGAGTGTAAATGACCAAAAATATAATTTAGGGTAGAAGGTTAGATCTAACCTCTTTTCTAACCTCTTTTCTACCCTCTTGAATTTGTCATGATTTCATCGTAAATGTTTTGTCAAACATGAACGTACATGTTTTGTCAAGACTTCTTCGTAATGAGTGTAAATGACCAAAAATATAATTTAGGGTAGAAGGTTAGATCTAACCTCTTTTCTAACCTCTTTTCTACCCTCTTGAATTTGTCATGATTTCTTCGTAAATGTTTTGTCATGATTTCATCGTACATGTTTTGTCAAGACTTCTTCTTCGTAATGAGTGTAAATGACCAAAAATATAATTTAGGGTAGAAGGTTAGATCTAACCTCTTTTCTAACCTCTTTTCTACCCTCTTGAATTTGTCATGATTTCATCGTAAATGTTTTGTCATGATTTCATCGTAAATGTTTTGTCAAGACTTCTTCTTCGTAATGAGTGTAAAGGACCCAAAAATATAATTTAGGTGAAGAGGTGAGATCTCACCTGTTTTCTCACCTCTTTTCTCACCTCATGAATTTGTCATGATTTCATCGTAAATGTTTTGTCACTTTTCTGTCACTTTTCAGGTAAAAACATTTTTATTATTATATATAAATGAATTTTACAAAACCACCGTTACCGTTCTTTGGAAATAAGAGTAGATGTAAAGATATTATATTGAGAGAACTTAAGAAACTACCGAATGGTCTAACATTTGTAGATTTGTTCGGTGGAAGTTTCTATATATCCCATTTATGTCATACAATATTCCCAGACTCAAAGATTATATGCAATGACTTCGACAACTATATGGACCGTCTCAAACATATACCAGACACAAACAATATATTGAAAGAGTTAAAAGAAAAGATACCTATAGGTAAGATGGAACGTATACCATTAGATAAGAAAATATTGTGAGAGAGGTTTTGAAAAAAGCAGAATATATAGACTGGGATAGTATATCTGCTAGACTATTATATAGTGGTTCTATAAGAGTTCATGACATTGAAACACTTATGTCAAAAGTTTTATATCTTAACTATACAAATGTTTTCAAAGAGGACATAGAAAAATATATTGAGGGTATAGAGTTTGTGAGATGTCATTGGACAGATTTGTATGAAAAATATAAAGACAAGGAAAATGTTTTCTTTATAGTGGACCCGCCGTTCTATAACACATGGGATTTTCAATACCAAGTAGACTGGACTTTGAGAGACTCTTTAGAAACTTTAGACGTTTTACATAACTGTCCATGCTTTTACTTTACATCCGATAAAAGTGGTTTGGAAACCGTTATGAGATGGTTAGAGGACATACATGACTATGAGTTTATATATGACAAGATAGAATATGAGAGAGGACCTATAAACTGGAGAAAGTGTCATAACAAAGAAATTTTATTAGTAAGTAAATGTGGTTTGAAATAGGACTACTTGTTTTAGGTTTTTTCCATTGTGTCATTTATTTCTTTGACGTGGCAGAAAAGTACAGAGAATATGAAGATGAACCAATGCCTGCAAATGTTCAGCATATGTACTCGTAAGAGATATTTTTATCTAATATTAAATGGACGCACAGAACTTAGCGAATGCACAGCAACCTGGACAACCAAACCCAGAGAATATTCCAAATGAAGTTAGAATACAAACTGCAATGGCAAACTATGGTCAAGTGCCAACAGATGTACAAATGCAAACTGCCATGTCAAATGACGCTGCGTTAGGTTTGCCACCATGGTATGCAAATATGAGATGGAAAGAGTTTTATACAAACCCTGAAGTGGGATATAAACAACTTTATGCAGATGACGCGAACACAGGAGTTGACCCAGAATATGTTTTCTACCAGAGGAGAAACAGAATGTATGAGCTCCAGTTAAAGAATGCTATGGAACTCAACAGGAAACGTAAGAGACTAGGCGGACATTAGATTTTTACATATAGTAAAATGGGTTTCTTCAGTAAGATAGGAAACTTCTTTCGAAATGTTGGAAGAGGTATATGGAATGGAATAAAAACCGTAGGAAGAGGAATTTGGAACGGAGTCAAAAATATTGGTAAAAGAGTAGGTCAGTTCGTTGGTATTATACCTAAAGACCCTGAACCAGAAGAGCAAGCTCCTGTTATACAACAGCCTGAACCTGCACCACAGTCTAGTTGGCAACCAAATCCAACACCTCAACCGTATTAAAAAATTATATTTTTACCGTTCGATAGTAGTTGTATATGAAACTAAGTTCTAAGTAAAACGCATGGTATAATGGAATTATTCTTTTTCTTCCATCTGTAGTAAACCATACTTGAAAGTCTGAAATACTTCCACTCGGCGGTTCATATAACTTTGTAGGTTTTTCGTAAAAGTCATTTGCCAAGCATAAAAAAGAGTTTTGGGCGCCAGAAAATGAAGCATGAACAATAATAGCAGCTGGGTCGAAAACATTTTCATATGTTCCATTAGGGTTTTCGACTTCATAAAAGTCTGGGTGTACTGGATATGCTGCAGGCTGATTTAACATCCTCAAAAATCTATACCATGCCAAGTTGTTATATTTTGTAGAAATATAAACGTTTTCTCCAAGGTCTTCTATTCTATTGATTTTAACAGTTGCATTTTTCCTGTCATAAATAATATCGAGATGGTACTCTCCTTCGTCAATGTTATACTGGTTTGCATATTCGAGATAGATGTCGTTTATTTTTTCTTGAAAAGCTTGAAGAGTTGTTTCTAAGTTTACAAGCAAACTAACTTGTAAAAGTTTTCCCTGTTCAAATTTCTCATACATACGTTTTCTTTGTTATAGTATCGAACTTCAAAACCGACCGTAAATGGGAAACCATGTATGGCTTCTGAAATGAACTTCATTCTACGAAAGCCAATAGCTTTTGTGACAGATGGGTCTCTTAACCATCTTAATGGGTAGTCAAAACGATAGCCTTCATGCTTTACGGTCTCTGTCTCAAACTTTTGACCGACATTAGTAAAAAGTTCATCTAATGGTTTAGTTGTAGCAACTCTTGAATTTTCTTTTTCTATTGGAAGCATATTTTATCTAGAATAAAAATGTCGAAAGATATTGCTTCCATGAGAGAAATACAACACAACCGACAACTCATTATGCAAGCTCTAAATAAGAACACAACAAACTTTTCAAACTATTCTAAGATATCTGAGTCATTGAAAGAAGGAAACTTAAAACTGACATTAAACCCAATGACAGATGAGTTTCTGTTTCAAGACAAGAAGAACAATACTGTCTGTATAAATCCAACAAAAGGAACTTTAAACGAGAAACCTATAAATGAACTTCTTTTGAAAGCAGATGTTGACAACAAAGCTGACAAAGAATATGTAGACGATGCAATAGCAAAAGAAGAAGAAAGAGCTAACAATGCTTATGCAACAAAAGAACATACTCATCCTGAACTAGCAGACAAAACATATGTTGACAATAAAATGTCAAGTGAAGTGACAAGAGCTGAAAACGAATATTCTAAAAAGACTCATATACATTCTATATCTGAAATAACAGACTTAAACGTTAGCCTTGAAAAGAAAGCGGATAAGGATTGTGTGGCTAGTGTGTTAGTATAGATCCGTATTTTTCCCAAGTGAGCGGGGTATCTCCAATCCCAGCCCTATCGTCCTCCCAGTGTCAGTTTTCAATATAAAATCCAAATTTTTTTTGAAAATAAAAATTTCGAGAAATTTTTTTTGATTTTTTTCTTTGATTTCAATAATTCAAAATAAATTTGGGAGTAAAAAGACACTATTTAATGAATTCATATGAGTGAATGTGGATAAATACTCTCAAAACATACAATTTATATATTTT